AAAAGAATTATAAGACTTCGCAAACCCTTTTAGGCATGCATGCTGTTTTTATGTCCTTTTCCCAAGTCATGCCTTTACGGCACTATTATTCTGCATCAGCCAGCTTGCTACATACGATATTGCAGGGAACATGATGAGACTTTCTTTATGAGAACTAAAACCTTCCGTTATTCATGCAGAATGATATTTGCACCAACTTTTGTATGCACAGTAGCTTTTCATAAATGTTGAGGTACAGCATGAAATCTATGATTCATCAGTAACCAGGTCCTTTCCTGCTTTTCTTAGGTTTACTTCTATATGTTTTGCTGGTCAAACAGCCTTTAACATATTTATAAATACATCAAAACTTCCCAAAACCCATTTAACCCCAAAATCATAATCAGACATGGTTTTATAGATAGAAATCTATAGCTACATGGAACAATACTTGACTGTAAGCCTAAAATATCTGAATATTGCCTTTGGTGCAAAACACAGATGTAGATGCATAGATGTCTGGCTTGAGGTCCCTGTTCACAATTAGAAACAATGTATTCCTTTTTCCTTCTTTTTTCTTAAGATAAAAGATCAAACAAAGTTGCAAGCAAAGAGAATTAGACCTTTAAATTCCCACACTTTATTCACATTTTTGTTACTCTGTTGGATGGATGGGTAAGTAGTATATGTTTATATTTTATCTAAAATATTAAAAAGTCAATAATTGCTCAAGGGTTCTTAAAAGTTTACCTAAACACAGCCGCTTGCACACATTCTCATGTTCTGAACAGCAGGTGTAAAATCCCCATCTTTTATCATGTTATCAGCTTTTAAGTTTGGTAAGTAGCAATGGTCCTAAACACCCAAAAGCAGTGGTTCTCAACTTGTGGGTCCCCAGGTGTTTTGACCTACAACTCCCAGAAATCCCACCCAGTTTACCAGCTGTTAGGATTTCTGGAAGTTGAAGGCCAAAACATCTGGGGACCCACAGGTTGAGAACCACTGCTCTAAAGGCAGCAGATCTTGTCTGATCTTGAAGACTGGTTAGTACTTGAACGGGAGACTCCTAACAAAGACCAGGTGCTGTAGACTATATTTCAGAGGAAGGAAATTGAAAATCATCTCTGAATATTTCTTACCTATAAAATCCATGGGGCCAACATAAGTCAACATGCAACTTATCTCACATAAGTAAAAATGAGAGAAAGGAAAAAGCAGGAACTCTCTGGGTCTCACTTCAATTGTTTAATCCTTAAACTACAAGTGGGAAATACTTTGCTCTCCAGATGTTTTGAACTACAGCTCCCTAATTTTTTTTAAATAATTTTATTAAGTTTTCAAATATATAAGATAAGATAAGATAAAATCACATGTCTAGTTTATAAGTCATAAATCGGAAAAAGAGTAACGAGAAGAAAGAAAAAATTGAAGAAGAAATAAAAATAGACAATAAAAGGAAGACAAGAACATAGAACAAAAACCAAACTTTCTCTCTCTCTCTCTCTCTCTCTCTCTCTCTCTATATATATATATATATATATATATATACACACACACACACACCACACACACACAGATATATACACATACATGCATATATATACATGTCTACAGCTCCCTAATTTTTAATTGATTGTGAAGAATCAAGCTTTTGGCAGGTCACAGAAACATACAGTTGGAATGGGTGACATCTAAAATAACCCTGAGCTATTGCAGGAATCCAAAGCAGCACTAGCAAATAACCAACAAAATTCCATTTTAAAAAATCAACAAAAAAAATCTTAATTCTGATTTCTTAGATATCAGGCAGCAGGCATTCCTCTCTGTTTTGGTGTCGTTTGGAAATGTAATTATGTATTTTATTTCTTCATCCAAATCATTTACTAAAATGATGAAAAAGACTAGAGACCCAGAATAAAATTCAACAGAACCCACATTTATCATTTCCTTTCAGGTTGACAAAGAGTATTCTTTGCATTCAGTACACTGACCAGTCATAAATTTATGTTAAGAGTAGCATAGTCTAGACCACATTTAAGACCCCATCTTCACTGCCCTATAATGCGGTCAAGAGGGCTAAGGCAGTTTAATCTGGAATAAATCTGGTTAAAAAAAATCTTTCCAGATATAGGGTTCCTGGAGATTGCATTCTTTGGATCCCAGGGGGCAGTCCCTACAGCTATTCTGCATCTGTGGGCTCAGGCAGCTGGGAGAGGAGGGATGTCAATGCCATCCCCCACTCCCTGCTTCCCTTTCACCTTAAAACTTACCTTAAATGCCTCAAGTGGCACAAGGCTTTTGCAGCGCTCCTGGCCCATCAAAGGGATGTTCCTGGAGCTTGAGGAAATTCTTCTCCAGAGCCCCTGGCATCATTTTGATGCAACAGGAGCTTAGTGGAAGCCTTGTGTCTCTTGAGGCATTTAAAGTAGATTTTTGTGATGAAACATGGAGTAGGTGGGCAGTTGCCATATCCTTTGTGCCGATTGCAAATTATTGGGGGGGGGGGGGCAAATCACCCACAGAGACCTGCTTGGTGTGGTTTCTAAATGCGATGAAATCACCATTTACAAGCGCTGATTTCACTCACATTTGGACTAGTGTGGAAGGGCCCTGACTAGCTAATACACAACTATATAATGGGCACACTTCATGAACATAGACCTCATCTATATTGCCATATACTGCAGTTTCAGAATGCAATTTAACTGCATTGAACTGCATTATATGGCAGGACAGATTCATATAATCCCGTTCTAAAACTACATATATTTAAAAATATGGTGATTCTGGCATGACTTTTTTATTAAAAAAAACACCACTCTGGTTCTTAATCACAGCATTCCTTTTATTGTGCTCACACAATGAATGTTTAAAGATCTGTTCTGGATGCTCTTCTGCATTGATGTAAAGTTGACCTTTCATTGTTGTCCAAGTCCTCTTTGTCCCCTTTTGAAGATGAGTACAGAATTTGCCCACCTCCTGTTAACAGAACCACATTTGTTCTCCAAGAATTCACAAATATTATAAACTGAAGGCCCTTCCACACAGCCCAATATCCCAAAATATCAAGGCAGAAAATCCCGCAATATCTGTTTTGAACTGGGTTATCTGAGTCCACGCTCAGATAATGTGAGATTTTCTGCCTTGATTTTCTGGGATATAGGGCTGTGTGGAAAGGCCCAGAGACTACATGATTACAACTTCATGTTCCTCAATGAAGTCCAAAACATTTGGGGAACCACATGTTCCATTCTCTTCTGTATTGCTTGATTACCATTAAGACATTAAGATAATCAACTAAATTATTATATAGGCAATTGGTAATCAGCTGCAGTGAGCTAAAGACTAACACATTCTACTTCTTTGAATAAAACCAAAGCTGATCCTGTCTGAAGTTAGATAATGTTGGTTAGAATAAACCACAGTTCCCTCAGCTTTGGCTTTTCACAGTAAACAGTAATCTAAACTGAGAATTGGAAGCAAAGAGGAATTAACATTTGTATAAGTGATCATCAGGAAAAAAGACACTTAGTCCCTGTAATTATTCCTCTTCCATCTTTCCAAGGATATGCCTACTTTTTTCTTCCTCCTTACCATTTTGTGGTCACTTCCCCCACTCTTCAAGAAGTCAGTCAGCTTTTTGTTCCATTTGTCTAGGAATGGAGCACCCATGGAGTGCCAGTACCAGCAATTTTTCTTAGCTTAACTGGCTCACCACTACCACATACACACACAAATGAGAAGCAGCCCTTAAGGGCTCTTGTATCAAGTATAGGTCAACTTCTTTTGTCCATCTCCTTTCCCATGTCAAGATAAGATTTCCTGAAAGTTTGCATTTTATCTGACAAAAGCATTCTGTTTTGATCATAAGCTCACATTTCATTACTTCTATTACAAAGGAAAGTGTTCACTCTCTTCTTCTTTCCTTTTCACTGAAAGAAGAAAGAACAGAATATGGTACTGAACTCATCAGTTCTCACTCATAAGCAGGAGCCCCCGATGGCGCAGTGGGTTAAAGCACTGTGCCAGCAGGACTGAAGACCGACAGATCGCAGGTTCGAATCTGGGGAGAGGCGGATGAGCTCCCTCTATTAGCTCCAGCTCCTCATGTGGGGACATGAGAGAAGCCTCCCACAAGGATGATAAAACATCAAAAAACATCCAGGCGTCCCCTGGGCAACGTCCTTGAAGACGGCCAATTCTCTCACAACAGGAGCGCTTGCTCCTGACACGACAAAAAAAAAACTCATAAGCAGTATGATTTAGATGACTGCACTGAGTTTATGTCTATGAAAGGGAAATAATCTTGGTTTCCCAATATGGATCAAAAGAAAGGCAACTGCTTTCCTCTGTATTCCATTTCCTCTTTTTCAGAACTAGGGAAGTTGCTGCAAACTGTGTGTTCCCACCCCAGAAAAGAGTCAGTTTGGTTTGAACATTGCAGCATGAATGCAGAGGTTTGAATCCTCTCTTGGGCAACTCACACACTCATAGCACAGAAAACTTTGTGACAGATCTACCTGAGGGTTGCTGTAATTTTAAAATGACCTGAAAGCACACAACAATAACCCCAGCACACATAAATTATTGTAAATTTGTGATTTCAGAATTTCTCCTCCTTACAAACTTGTTTTTTTCAGAGTGGTGTATGTCATATAATTTAACCAGACTTTACAAACATCCATTGGTGCATCTACTACACTGTAGAATGAATGCAGTTTTTGACATGGCGCCATGTCACTAACTGACATGGAGCCATGCTATGGAATCCTGGGGTTTGTAGTTTGGTGAGGTACCAGCACTCTTTGGCAGAGAAGGCTAAAGACCTTGTAAAACTAAAACTGTCACAATGCCATAGCACTTAACCATGGCAGTTAAAGTGGTCTGAGATTATATTCATTTTACAGTGTAGATACTGTACAACCTATGTCATATATGTTAAAAGCTGAATCTCAGTGTTTGGTATTATATGTATGCAAGTGATTGGTCCTCATGTTATATTGTTTTATTAAATCAAATACCTTCACAAGCAGAAGTTCCTGTGGCTCTTCTTCTCCTCTTATGCCCATATCAAAGAGATTACAAAGATGTGCAGTGAATTCATGATGTTCCCTGCTGGTCTTACAGGCTACGATCTTGATCTCTTCAGACTCATTTAAACATTTTCTAATAAGATGCAAAACCAAATATGCACAATTAGTAAAACAGATGTATAACGAAAAAGTTGTTTACATCAATATTCACAGCTATCCAGAGATCAAACTATTTTTTTCTTTCTGTGCATATGTTTGCAAGATAATTTATTTGGTATTGTGCACTGACTAGATCGTCATTATCAGAACAATTATATCTCTGCACACAGCCCACATAAGCTTAACAAGTGTGTGCAGGGTTCAAGCTGAGTACATTTTATTTCACCCATGAAGACAAAAGGAGAACCTAGATCTTATTATGGTTCAGCTCCAGTTTACTGGCCCTTGTTAAGACCAGGACAGTATCTAGGCACTAGTCCAGCAGCTGCACAATCTTGACTGACTCCAATCACAAGGAGAAACAAAGACAACTCCAATCCAAATGACTATGACCTGCCCTGTCCATCTTTGTTTTTTGGAGGGAAAAACACATGTTTATATGATGGCTTTACCTGATTTCAGCTTCTAGTTCACTGATTCTCCCCTTCAGTTCCAAATTCTCCTGGTGAATGGCCTGTGCTTTCTTGTCCGCTTGTTTTTTCAAAATGGTAAATGCACCAGATTCCTTCTCAATCTCTTGAAGTCTACTTTGAACAGAGATGAGTAGAGAAGATTGCCTTGCATCATTCTCCTTGTAGCTTCCAATTTCAGCCTTCATTTCTTCAATATATACTTCTTTAGATATTAATTTGGATTTGAGATTTAAAAGCTGTAAACAGGGAATGATCAGGAAATAGATGGGTCCTATGGGACATCTAGAAAATATTCCATGTATATTTTTAACATTTTGTTTTGTTTGAATATTTATAAGCAAATAAAGTATTTTACACAGGTTACAAAGTGTTATATATCAAAAGAATTCTGATCATGAAAGGTTTGTTGAATGACGAAAATTCACTGAAATGTTGAAGGAACTTCTCCAGAGACTTAAACGATTTATTGGAGGATCATTCAGAATATCACTGAAAGGAAATAATGTTTCTGAAAAGGTTCCTCATGGTTCTGTATCCCTCATCACTCTCAGCAAATCTGTAAATTTATTTTCTGTGAATGCTGCTCCTTCACTCTTTATTTCCATCTTATAATCTCTAAAGTTTTTTTATTGTTTTATAGTTGAGGGCTATTTCTAATTATGTCATTAGAAATATAATTCACCATTTTTTCTGTGAGAGGTCTTTGTTGGTATTTTCATTTCAAAACCAGATGAAAAAAATGTTGTCAACACAGAACACATGCTTTTCCAGAGAAAAACTCTACTAGGATCCTCACTAAAGCTTCATTAAATAATGGGCACCGCTGTGGGCACTATTGTATTAGATGGGCCAATGATTTGAACCAGCCCATCCATGGGTATGTACCAAACAGATTCCAGAGAGATCTAACTATGGGTTATAGGGTTATTTGAAAAACTGCAGTTTCCCAAAACTTAAAATTATCCAGTTCCCTCAAATAGAAAACTGGAAAGGGACTAGATGGCCCATGTGGTCTCTTCCAACTCTATTATTCTATGAAAAGTGGGAGATGAGATATTTGCTCTTTTTGAATAAATGACATGCTTTTTTCCAGACAAAATTTAACTCACCCAAAATATTAGGTACCTTGTATGAGGATGTAGATGGAGGATGCCCTAAAGAACTATGCCTGTATATTAGCTATATACATAATTCCAATAAAATGTTTATTTCTGGTTCTAATGAGGGTTACCATCTTCCTCAGAGATGTATATGAAAGCTTAATTGCTCATGATAGTGCACTACTGAAGAGTTCGATATTTTCAGCACAGATTTAACATTACAATCAAACATGCTAGCAAATTAAGATTGTGGGTGCATCTACACTGCAGAATTAATGCTTGATAGACAACAATGGTTATGGGCCCAGCAATTTGTAAGATGTTAAGTCATGGGAAACTGATTGTAATAATAACAATGTATTGAGAGATTGTAAATGTAACCATGAATATGTAACATGTAGCAGCAGTCTATGGAACTACAAGAATCTAAGTCAGAAGTGTAATGTATTGAATAACAATGATGACAAATGCATTAAGATGTTAGCAAGGTTTTCATGATGTGTTAAGGAGAGCAAGTTTAAACTAACACAACATTTCAGGAGGGAATTGTTAGTATTTGGTTTTTAAATAGAGTGAAATATTGCTTGTAGTTTAAACTGTGTGATGTAGCAATGCAAGAGTTAATACATAGAGCCGTGATGTATTGCCAGAGCATAACTTAAGAGTAGTTCCTGTGTAAGGAGGAAATGAAGAACTGATAAGGCTGGAATGTGGCTTCTTGCGGCAAGTGCAGATGTGAACGGACGTGATTACTGATTCTCTTACGTATACAGTGTATATTTGGAATAAAGGTAACTGCTGCTTCGTTTTGATAGCAGAACTAAGGAGTCTAGTGTCATTTGTGGTTTTCAGGCAGATGCTTGAAAAGTCGAAGCAGATTAAGAGACAATTTATCTCAATAAATCAACAATCTCCACAGCTCAATGCTAATGGAATCATTGGAGCTATTTTACAAGGTCTTTAGTTTTTTGTGGCAAATAGTGCTGATGCCTCACCAAGTTACCAATCCCAGAATCCCATGTTAAAATGTCCTCAAACTGCATTTATTTTAATATACATGCACTCTGTGACTACTCTGTCCAATAAATCCACTTTGATTCCAAAAATGTAGTTTCTGTTTTCATGCAGAATTATAGCACATCCTTTCCCATCTTTATTCCTCTACCTGGTTACATCTCCCACTCACTTCTCAGATGCCAAACACTAAGACAGATGGGCAAAAAGTAAAGTAAAATGGGGCATGATAATTTGCAGTTTTAAGCATAAGGTAAATTCATGGATTTGTCTGCACAAAATTAAGACTTCTATATTTTTAAATTTCATAAAATAGCAAATAGTTCTTCAACGTAATTTTATGTAATGACTCCATCTTCTGTAATCCTGAGTTGGATAGTTTGGTGAGGTTTTTGTTGTTTTTTGGTATAAATTTTTATTGTCATATAAGGGAGAGACAAAACAACAACATACAAACTTCAAGATTCAACAATCAAAATACAAGTATTTGTTCCCCAGTCAGGCCACTTCCCCATTCCAATCCATGAACCACCACCCATGACTACAGAGTTTTAATTTATTCCCCTGGATAGCAATATTCTAACTACACCTCCAAAGAAGAAAACCCCTGGATTCCTTGGAGTGGGACCATGGTATTTAATGTGGTATAATAAATATGCAATACAAAGGTACATCCACAGATTGGATCTCTCAATTTTAAAATGTGTGCTTTAGTGCTGGTTTAATGTGTCTTTATTTTGCTTGTTGTTTCGCTGTACTTTATGTTGCTTTTAACACTATGCTTTAGCATTGCAAATTGACTTTTGCTTGGTTATTATATGCACAAAGATAATGTTATGTTATTGTGTAGCATATTATTGCTGTAAATGTGTGAAATACAAAGGCAGCAACCACTTTTCAATAGATTCAAAAGAAATATAATCAGAGCTAACTAACTCCACAGCAGTAGTTCATTACAAAATCCAGATTCCTGGAGTTACCTGCCAGTGTTATTCTGAATAATGGTGTACAGAGGGTGTATCAAAACATGAGAACTAAAGCAGCAACTTCTAGCAGTACAAAGCAAAAGTTTCAGAACAAAAACAAGAGTGAATTTGAAATAATAATCTGCTTGGGATGAATAAGAAAGAAAGAAAAATCATTATCATTATTTGGACCTATATCCAATAAATACACAAGCAGAGCAGAAGTCTCTATCATCAGACTTACCCTATTGTTGGGGAGAAAGCAGAATCTGCCCTGCTCTTGCCATTTCCTCCCTGGCTGCACAACAGCAGTCTGTGAGTTCCTGGGTGTGGGTTAGGGCCAATTCACAGCTGCTAACCAGCTGTAGATATCTGTCTGGCCACATTCAAGTTAAACTTGAATGTGCACAAGTTATTCATTGTGCACATCTTTTCCCAGGCTAAGCCTGATCCTTCTCCTCCAAATTCTAAAGGAGCAGAGCTAGGTCCATCTCTGTAGACTCAATGGGGTGGGTAACCAGATCTGTGGCCAGGAGCATCCAACTGTTGTTATGTGGCTGGGGAAGGGGTGTCATGCAACAAGCTATAAGACACCTCCTTCTGCAATATCCTTGAACATGTGTACACTGGCATATGACACCAACAGGATTCAGGTCTAAACCTCCCACAATGGTAGCATTTAGTAAAATGGAAAACCAGTGTGGTACAGTGAATTGAGTACTGCAGTTTGGTACACCATGATTTGAATCCCTGCTCAGTCATGGAAATCCACTTGATGACTTTGGGCAAGTCACATTTTCAGCTTTAGAGGAGGGCAGTGACAACCCTCTCCTGTAGAAAACTCAGTTTAAGTTATGGATTTAAAATGAGAATATAAAATAGACATATATAGAACCATTTGTACTGTGGCATTTAAGCAGTTAAATATATATATATATATATATATAATATATCTAATAGAAAAACTGTTTACAAAATTAATACAATATATAAATACGGGAGACTAAAAAACTTCAAATGTAAGGACAAATGTTTACCTTTTGTCACAGTGTAACATTTTTTCTTCAAAATCCCAAGAACTATACTTAACATGTGAATAAGTCGCAATAAAAAAAAGAATTGAACAAATAAAAAATCTGGCAACAAGTGTATTCATGAATCATTATCAGTGATTCATGCAGAGAATCTAATGGCTTGTAAACTATAAACTATACCCATTAAATGAAAGAATCCACACCCACAATAAAAGAACAAGGCAAAGAAAGCATTACTTGAATGCATTTATTCTTTCTACAATATTAAAAGTTTATGAACTAAAGCATTCTTACCAGGAACCATTGGGCTGTCCACTCATAAAAACTGGATTATTTTTTCAAAAAGCTAGACGACTATAGTTTTATGCATTATTGTTTTGCAATGTCTGTGATTCACTGTTGCAAAATGATGTAAATAGTAGTAACTGTGCTTCTTGTATAGATTACAATCTTATAGTTACACTGATCCCGTGGGATTTACTTCATAAGTTTAGAATACACAACACATGAATTACATTGTGCCTCCATGAGAAAATAATAATGAGGAAAAAATTGGGAAGGAGGAGAGGAGGAATCAGAGAAATTGCAAATAAGAAGGAATGGGTTATTACTGAGGACAGTTCTACACGGCGAGTTTATCTTGAGTCAGGAAGAGAATGAAAGAGAACCAATTTGCTGTGGAGTGCCTACACAAGCACCCCAAGAACTCTTTGGATGCTGGGATGGGGTCACAACAATCCACCAATTGATCCAAACCCAGGAATATATTTTTTCTTATCTCACTTGGTGGGATGTGCGGATGTGTAACTGTTCTTTCCAGGTTTTTCGAATAGTACAGCACTAGCCCTGTCCTGATGAGTGTTCTGCATTTCCCAGTCTCAGATTCTAGCCCTGCAGGGGATATACACTGATTGGCTATCATTGATTCTGTGATTTGTTCTGGAATTTTCTGTGAGTTTTTTAAATACACTGTTTCAGGCATGATGCATGCTGCAGTGCGCAGTGGATGTTTTGTAGACACTCCAACCGCAAGACTGCTTCAAACTGAATTATACTGCCCTATGAAAAACTGTCCCGAAACAGTATTAATATCCCCAATTCTAAGCAAATGTAGTCAGTCCACAATTTCACAGATTCTACACCCATGGATTCTTCTATCTATGGTTTTAAAATATTTTTTAATCTGAAAAAAAAAACCAAGCATTGACATTGCTATTTTATATAAGAGACACCATTTTACCACACCATTGTATATAACAGGCCTTGGGCATCTGCGGATTTTGGTATTAAAAGGGAATCCTGGAACCAAGCAAGATAACAAGGGCCAATCCTATATGGCACACTCTATGAAGCTTCCATTATCCTTACAACCATAAGGCCTAGAAACTTAGAAACTCTCAATAATTAAAATATGAAAATATGAACATTTGAGGAGGCATAATGATACACTAATATCAATTTCCATGCTTAAGTTATGCACATTATAAAATAATAGAACTATTAATGTAGGCTACATTATGGACATGTTTATTAATGCTAAAGAAAAGTGCTGCACTGGGTCTATTGCTTGAGCACAAGTATCTAAAATCCAACTGAATATCATTGTTCCTGTGTATTCCATACTGTAACTCATCAGGTAGTGCCAAAAGCAAGATATCTGTGAGAAAAAGATACCTTGAATACGACTGAGCTCCACACTATCAAAAAGACCATTCTTCTCTTGTGAACCTGTCTGTACTCGAAGATGCTTGAAAGAGGCATATCTCTCAATTCACCATCTTCACAGGTACATTTTGTGGAAATGAAACAGAGCGCCTTCTCTGGAATGTCTTTCCTCAAGAGGCTGGCTCCCTGCTTATCCTTCCACCATCAAGTGAAGATTTTTCTTTTCCAACAGGTATTTGGGAACGGATTGTTTTATTTAATGAGTTTTCTGTTTTGGTGCTACACTACATTTCAATCTATGCTTTTATATTTCAGTTTTATATGGCTTTGACTCTATAGAAAGTGTAGTATTGTTAAATCTTAACTTTTTATCAACATGAGATTTTACTTCTATCTCTTTGTATTCTGTAAGTTGTCACTCTTAGAGAAGAGATGAGTATAAAATCCAAGAATTAAATGTTTGAATTAAATTAAATGTTTGAATCCACATGTAAGAACATAGCTAATGCTAACTGTAATGTGACTGTAATGGGGCATGCAGTTCATATGTTAGAAGAAGAAGACTCACAGTTTTTTGCTACCAGGTTACACATATGTCAAATTAATGTTCAGAGTATATATATCTATAATGGTGTTTTTTTCTGACATTAGTGTGTTTGGGGAAGACTGGAAAACTACAGTCACATGGAGGGGAACTTAACTGAGCACACAAGACTAAAGGATATGTAATAACCCAATTGGGGGGTAGCACATATGGTATTATGGTAGAGCTTCATCAATATGAAGCAAATAATTGATAAGCCAAATGACTGGCTAATGCAGTGCAGTTGTCTCTGAATGCAGAAATATTAACTCAAATGAGGAAACTTAAAAACTGGAATATAGTAAGATGAGTAATTTCCATTATACTAAGGTTTATAGAGATGTCACAAGGAGTAGATTCAGTTTTCAAGAAGTGGCACACTTTGGTGTTCAGCAACCTAAGATTCTTTAGCTAGTGAAAGGAGAAAGAGAAAAGAACAGGAGAGGTTCAAAAGCATATGGGGAAAGAAAAACATATTCTCCAAGCCATGAATATGAACACACATTTATAATGGAGTGGACTAAGCTAAGCAAGGATTCCATTAAAATAGATCTTGGAATGACAGGGATTACATTTCCTTAATGGTTACTGAGAGCATTTAGAATAGTAAAAAGAAGAGGAGAGCAACCAGATCAAGTCCTTCGGACCAGAGCCATGTTCCATAGGGGAAAATATTCTGGAGTTCATAAAGTGAGATTCATATAACGGGCACTTAGTGTCTTCTGGGATCTGGTTCTGATACTCTACTTGGATGCCAAAAATCTGTAGATATTCAACTCTCATTATATACAAAGACATAGCAAAATGGTGTCCCTTACTTAAAGTGGCAAAAATAATGTTTGCTTATTGGATTCTCAGTATGGTTGTTGTACAGATACATATAACTTGGCAAAATTTCTGTTTGGGGGTAGTTGTCATGTCAAAAATAAAATTTCAAAATAAACCTATATTGCCTTCACAATTTTAAATCTACAGTTAGTATGCACCTATTAGCAAGGAGTACTGATGGTATTACATTATCCAGCTGAAATCTCTTATTCCACTTTAACTGTGAATGCAAATACACTACTAGAGCTGTTATCAAATTGACCCACTATTCTGCAACTATCGTGTTAGTGTAAATCAGTGGTTCCCAACCTTTTTTTTTTTTTTGACCAGGGATCACTTGACCAGGGACCACTCTCCAACATTAGTACCAAAATTATTACGAATCAGTTTTTGGTCAACTTTAGATTTGGTTTGGCGTGCTGATTCAGAAAATTGCATTGGATAGACCACATCATCTCTAGTTTCTAATACAGAACATAGGCTATTGTTACATAGTAAAGTAAGAATAAGAAACATTTGCATCTCCAGATGTTTTTGACTACATCTTCCCTAATCCTCTACTATTCCATGCTAGGACTTCTGGGAATGGTAGCCCAAAATATCTGGATGCCCCAAGGCTTTCCACTTCTCCACTCATGTATTAGGGAAAACATGTGGCATATGTGACAGGGAAGGAGTGGCAGGTGGCGCAAAAAGAGTGGAAATAAAATAAATTAAATTAAGAGGAAAGAGGCTTGCAGACCAGATTTTCATCTTCTCAGCCCACTGGTGTTCCGCGGCCCACACGTTAGATAATGCATATATACCAAGATGAGCACTTTTAATACTGCATCTCTCTTCAGTGCTGGTTTGCTGATTCACGGTCTCACAATCCATCATTTGCACACCTTCATAACCCAAGGTTTCTGCACTGCTTTTTTCCCAACGTACCTTTTAGCACAATTGTGCATTTCTAAGATTTAAACACTGATGAAGATATATATAAATTAAATGCAAAGCAACCACCTCAGGTACAGTGTGGAGGCAGGAGAAGAGAATTCTATATCTCATTACTGCCAGCACACGGTATAGGACCAAAAGGGAATAATTGCACTACAGTAGACAGTGAGAATGTAGCAGGATAGGGAGCTATTGATGAGAGAATCACTAGAGATTAGGCAAACGAGTAGCAAGATGTATGTAGTATCATCTGCTAGGAAGAAGCATGTTTTCAAATGGAATATTCAATAACATGTAAGCCTAAAGGAATGGTTTGAGTAGAATACAAAACGTTTTCATGCTGGGTAAAGAATGCTTTTTTTCAAACCTTACCTCTGCCTGGGCACATTCATACTTCACTAGGAGCGCAGCAAGTTCGCTGCGAGCTGTTTCTGCTGCATTACGATAGTGGCTGAGTTGTTCTCGAGTGACAGGAACATCCAAGAGAGAATAGTTGTGAACACGCTGGTTTTTGAAAAAGGAAAACATTCAGGGTCAAAGACAAAGAATTCAAACTCATCTTTCATTTCTTTTTTTTCTTCTTTTTTTTTGCTTCCCTTCAGAAATGAACACTTTCATACTAGGTTTTAGAAAATAATAATTACTAGACTATTTTTTAATACTGGTTTCAAAGTTGGCTTTGGCAACTGTTTTGGGTGACCTATATTAGATAATGAGTGGAACATTACAAATCTATTTCTTCTCTAAGACTAATCTGGAGCTCACTGCAATCTCTCCTTTAGGACTTGGAGACAGTGTCATGGATGCTCCGTTTGCTTTTGTAGAGCTGGACACAAAGAATAATACTAAAGGATTTATGTTCCACCTCTTGGTCTTTGGATTATTTCTGTGTTCCATCTTGACCCCAAAACTTTTCAGTATCTTCATGAAATGACTATTGGAGAGTATCTGGACGAAGATGTCATCAGTGTGTGGATGAAAGCAGTTTTCCAAGGAGACAGTGGAAACCTTGAACACATGTCTGGAGACAGTTGTTGGATTGCTAGGGGGAGCCAAACAAAACTGACATGCTCTTGGCTGAAAAGATGGCCAAACTGGATGCAGTTTTGTTCCTGATTTTAGACAGCACTTCATACCTTTTGAATGCACAGATAGCCTGGGGGTTCTTCTGGACTTGCTGCTATCTCTGAAAGTGAGCATTGGCTTTGGCTGTTCTTTTTAATTATGAACTTACTTGGATGGGTGATAGTCTTATTAGCCTCAGTTATACACCAACACCTTGAGCCTAGATTAGACTATTCTAATACATTCTGTTTATGATTGCCTTTAAAGAAAAATAAGAAAAAAATCATGCAGAATGTGATGAGTGGGATTCTAACCATATTACCTGTGCTGTCTACTTGTTTTGAGCTCCAGTATTTAATTTGTATTTTTAATGCCTTGAATCTCTGTTTGGGACCAGAGTATTTGGATTACTATCTGTATCCTTGCAAACCTGCCCAGATCCTGAATTCAGTCTCACGGCTTCTTCCTGGCTCACCATCAAGGACCATCAGATTGGTGAATAGCAGGGAGATAATTTTTTCTCTCATAGCCCTATAACATTGGAACTCTCTTGTCAAAGAAGTGTGTGTGTGACCTCATCTGAGCCGCCTTTTTAATAGGTATCAAAATTTTCATTTATTCCCTTTTGCAACATTTTATTGATGTCTCTGTATGCTATTTTTATTCAATTTTGCAAGTCTTCTAGGAAAGGCTATTGGGCTGAAACATGGTCTGTCAATGAATGATTAATACATTGCTTTTTCTTTTTTGCTAAACACACTGAACACTGCTGAGATCTGAATCTGTTGTTGGCAAGTTTCAGAGAAAGGGAGTCATCTGCTTTACAATTCTTTGGAATCAACGGGTCAAATATATCCAGAAGCAAGGCTAAAGTATCAGGCCCCCAAATATGTGTTATTCAGTGTCGTGTATTCCTGTATGACATTGGGTTTGACTGGATGTCCCAACTCTATGATTCTACACATTGAGATGATTCAATTTAGATTCAATCGTTTGTTTATTGCTCAATTTATACCTTTCCTTACAAACTGGCCAATTAATACAAGCTCTCTAAGGAGTTTTCACAACACGCACATTTAAAAAACAATATAAAATAATTAAAACTAGGACACAGTTAAAATGGTTTCTTAGAATTAATGCTTTTTTTTTTTTTTTTGTTATTTATGGCTACTTAATTGAAAGCACAAGCTGGCAGATGTTCCAAGAAAATAAAGAACCAAACTATAATTTTGAAGTGCATACATGTTTGGGTTTCTAATTTTATGACTGATTGTAACCAGAATTTTGGCGGGCATTTTGTGGGGTGAGATGTTTCTCTTGCTCAACTCCAGAGCATCAGAGAGAGAAAAGAGGCACACACACTGAAGAAGAAGAATCTTGAATATTCTTTCCATTTTCTGAGAACAGCTGGTAGCATTTCTGCCAAAAATCCTAAAAATTTTTAAAAAGCATAACCAAGTCTGAAAGTGGGAAAAATCAAAGCTTTGTCCTCCCAAACAAACATCTAACAAGGTGTCTGGCCACTGTTCCACTGTTTATTTGAATAAAATTAAGTCTAGCCTAGATTTGGAGCACAACTGCAGGTAAGCCTTGCAAGGAAAGGTATAAGCTCAGAAATAAACAAATGATTGAATGTTTTGAGAAATCTAGGAATATTTTTTGTGTATAGTTAATAAAAAAACAACACAATTTCAAAAGAAAACCACAAGTTTATCTTTATTTGCCTTTTGCCAAAAACACATTAGCATTAAATTGTTACTGAAAATGTAATCCATTAGCATTTTAAAATGAGAAATTATGAAATTAGTTCCTTAAATTCATTATTATTAAGGCATGAGTTCCAAGCTAATGAGGCAACATTATTTAAAAAGTCAAAAATTCCTAACACTCCTCAATTGCCCTACAAAAATAACAAATTAAAGTTAAACAAGGAAATTCATTGCAACAAAAACACAGCATGTTAAGGTTAAAATAGCAAACTTTAAATGTATTGCTCAAATTTCTAAGAACTCACAGATAAGCAATTGATTTCAATACAAGTTCAGTACTTGGAGGCACTGTTTTGCAGTGGCTCCAGTCATTCCTGGAGGATTGTTCCCAGAAAGTGTTGCTGGAGGACACCTGCTCGGCCTTTGCCCTATGGGGTCCCGCAAGGTTCAGTATTGTCCCCCATGTCGTTTAACATTTACATGAAGCAACTGGGAGAGATCATCCGGAGTTTTGGAGTTCAGTGACATCTGTACGCAGATGACCTTCAATTCTACTACTCCTTTCCACCTGCTGCTAAGGATCCTGAACCAGTGCTTGGCAGCTGTGATGGTCTGGATGGGTCAGACAAATTGAAACTGAATCCAGACAAAGACAGAGGTACTCCTGGTCAGTCATAAGGCTGAACAGGGTATAGTGTTACAACCTGTGCTGCATGGGGTTACATTCCCGCTGAAAACACAGGTTTGTAGCTTGAGAGTTCTCCTGGATTCATCGCTGAACCTAGAACCTCAGGTTTTTTGTGGTGGCCAGGGGAGCATTCACATGAAACTTGTGCACCAGCTGCCCCTGTACCTTGAGAAGCCAGACTTGGATTTGGTGGTCCAAGCTCTCGTCACTTCTCCAAATAGACTACTGCAATGTGCTATACATGAGGTTACCTCTGAAGACTGTTTGAAAGCTTGAAGTAATCCAACAGGCGGCAGCCAGGTTGCTCACCAGGCTGGCATACAGGGATCATACAACCCCTCTGCTGTGTCTGCTCCACTGGTTGCCAGTCTGCTACTGAGCAGAATTCAAAGTGCTGGCTTTAGCCTATAAATCCCTAAATACTTCCAGTCCAGCTTACCTGTCTGAACACATCTCCCTTTATGAGCCAGCTAGAACACTAAGATCAGCCCGTTCTCGGTCCCACCACCTTCACAGGTGTGACTGGCAGGGACAAGCGACAGGCCTTCACAGTGGTGTGGAACTGCCTCCCCACCGAGATTAGATTGGCGCACTCTCTCCTAGCATTTAGGAAACAAAGTAAGACCTGTTTGTTCAAGAAGGCATTTGGTGAATGACAGGAGTATCGAAATATGGGATAGTTAAAGATAACCTTGGGTTTGATGCAAGATTTAAATGTTCTATTTTGCATTGTGATTGTTGTTTATAGTTTTATAGTTTTAATGGTTTTAATCTATTGTTATATGTGGTTAATTTGATATGTGATGTTTATCCGTGTAAGGCAGTAGTTCTCAACCTGTGGGCCCCCAGTGTTTTGGCCTACAAGTTTACTAGCTGTCGGGATCTCTGGAAGTTGAAGACCAAAATATCTGGGGACCCACAGGTTGAGAACCACTGGTGTAAGGCATTGAATTTTGTCATGGATTACCTTGTGAACCGCCTTGAATATCCCCAGGGGTGAGAAAAACATTATATCAATAAATAAACAAACAAACAAATAAAATCTACACTGCCATATTATCCAGTTTCAGACTGCACATTATCTGCCTTTAACTGGTTTATATGAGTCTGCACTGCCATATACTCAAGTTCAATGCAGTTAATCTGCATTCAGATGCTAGATTATATGACAGTGTAGATCCACACTGTATTATTTAATTGCGTTTTAGTTTTTGTATTGTGCTTTTAAAAACTATGACCAAAGTGTGGTATTGTTGGCTGCCTTGTGTCCTCATGGGGAGAAAGGTGGGATATAAATAAAGAGAGGAGGAGATGAGACCTTATACTAATTCCTAGCACCTGACAGGTACTTCTTTTTCTCTTCAGCTATCAGAAAACATTGCACACTGACTACAGCAATAACAGTAAAGATGGATTGTAGACAAGTAACTTTTGTGAGTTTCTTTACAAAGTGGGGATACATATATGCTGTAAAGTGAATGCAATCTGATACCACTTTAACCGCCATGGCTCATGCTATGTAATCCTGGGGTTTGCAGTTTGGTAAGGCTCCAGCATTCTTTGGCAGAGAAGACTAAAAACCTTGTAAAACTCAACCTCCTGTGAGTGTTTAGGAGCAAGCCACAGCAGTTAAAGTGGAGTCAACCTGCATTAACTCTACAATGTAGATGCACCCCAGGGTGTACACAAACAGCATGGCATGGACTGGCTTTGCATTCAACCAAATTATTATTTAAAACAATATAATCTGAAGGAAAAACTTAAGTTTCATATATAAGACTTGTTAAGAAGTCCCTTAAGAATATATTTCATCCAAGTAGTTTGAAGCTAAGCCTGCTTCCCCCAATGGTTGATGATGCTATATTATTAAAACAGTTCACCACCCAAAAACCCCCCCAAAAAAACAAAAACCCAAAAGGGCATTGCTTGTACAAAAATAACATCTGTTCATCACAAACTCCCTCCAAAATGTGTGGCATTTATCTATTTGATTGGGTGAGCTGTAGTATTTCCAGTATTCTCCACTCATCAGGCATTTTGGA